CGTGGGTGGAATAATCAGAATCTGAACAATTTTAGTGCAGCCAGCGCGCGTATATACAAGCCGCCCCTCCACGCTCCCTTCCGTCTATCTGCCCTCGCTTTTTCAGTTTTTCTGTATTGTATAGACTCTCCACTCTTCCGTTGGGGCGTCTCTACATCCACGCTTGATACCCGGGGTTTTCACCCTCTCGCGCTGTTGGCACCGCTTACGCTTCAGCCGCCGCGAATAATTCCAGACCGTATCGATAAGCCCCTCCACCAAAAAGAAATCGCTCGTCGCAGATTCACAGCGCAGCACCACTCACCCCTACCGGCTTCTTTCGCAGATGCCGCACTCTGAGTCGCCGCCTATGGCTCCCGCTATTGTCGTCGACAAGGCCAGCGCAGCCCCTGCGCCCTCGCAGGAGGATGTCAACGCCTTCATCAGCAGCATCGTCACCGCAAAGACGTCGCACGCCTCGGTCGACGCCGCCTACGCCCTCACGACCCTCCTCCAGAACTCAGTAGGCTTCCGCGGCCTCACTGGCTATGGCATACTCGAGGAGATCAAGAAATCGGCGGCCAACAAGAAGGATGCCGTGCGGAGAGAGGGCGCCATGAACGCCCTCGGTGCCTTCTTCGAGCGCCTCCCGCGCACACAACGCCTGACAGAGGCCATCTTTCTCGTCCAGAACGAAGGGCTGGTACCCATGGTCCTTGACCTGCTGGCAGACAAGACTGGCTCGGTCAAGGAGTCGGCCAAGTACGCTCTCGACTCGCTGTTCGAGAACCTCAGCGCTGAGGCCAAGGTCTTTGGCCTCTTGCCTGTGCTGACCAAGTACCTGGGCAAGAAGTCCGGAAAGTGGCAGGGTGCTGCTTTCGCCTACGAACTCATCGGCCGCATGGCCGACAAGGCCAAGATGGGCATGGAGAGCCTCGAGGTCGAGAAGGAGAAGGATGTTCTCCGCGAGTCCATGGGCAAGAAGCTCGAGGGTCTCATCCCTATCGTCGAGGCCGGCATGCACGATCTCAAGAGCGAGGTAAGATTTCTCCCGCGCTATCTCACAGCCACCGTACTAACCACGAACAGGTCGCAAAGCAGTCTGTCAAGACGATGAACAGCCTCACCACCCTCCTCCAGAACGACGATATCGCGCCCCGGATACCCCTACTCGTCAAGGCCATCGAAGACCCCTCCACAACAAGTCTGCAGAAGGCCATCCACGCTCTCTCCCAGACCACCTTCGTCGCTATTGTCACATCACCCGTCCTTGCTATGGTCACACCTCTGCTTGAGCGCTCTCTGAACATGCCTTCCACATCACAGGAGGTCACCCGCCAGACTGTCGTCGTCGTCGAGAACTTGACCAAGCTCGTTCACGACCCTATCGAGGCCCGCGCCTTTTTGCCCAAGCTTCGCCCAGGTGTGCAGTCCGTCAAGGACCGCGCTTCCCTGCCTGAAGTCCGAGAGATCGGCCAGCGTGCGCTCGACGTTATCGAGAAGGCCATGGCCGACCCAGACCACAACATCGACAGCGGCGCCATCGCGAGGACACAACCATCGGATGTCCAGAAGGTCATCGAGAAGCAGATCACCGCTTCTGCCAACCTCCTTGACTTCCCCGGAGACGCGGAGGTCTTGGCTATCACCAAGAGGTACATCTCCGAGATGATTGCTGAGGTTGTTGATCAGCGCGAGCTTCAGCGCCTGCCAAAGCTCGTTGGCCCCTACTTTGAGCCTTTGCTCAACGCCGGGGACGCCGACAAGGTCGCAGAGGCCGTGCACCAGTTTTACGTGGACGAGGACCACCGCAAGTTCGGCCAGCCCGTCAAGGAGGATGACGGAGAGACGGAGATCGTCAACGCTGTCTTCTCACTAGGATACGGAGGCATGTTGCTCCTCTCGCACACCAACCTTCGCCTGCTCAAGGGCCACCGCTACGGTCTTTGCGGTCGCAACGGTGCTGGAAAGTCTACCCTCATGCGCAGTATCGCAAGCGGCAAGCTGGAAGGTTTCCCTTCTCAAGATGAAGTCAAGACATGCTTCGTCGAGCACAACCAGGGAGAAGACGCTGATCTCTCTATTCTTGAGTACATCGTTCGCGATCCGCGCTTCGCGGACGAGAGCCGAGAGCGTATCTCCGAGGTTCTCGAAGAGGTCGGCTTCACCGCTGGCCCCGAAGGCAGGCAGTCCGCCAAGGTCGGCTCTCTGTCCGGAGGATGGAAGATGAAGCTCGCTTTGGCCCGTGCTATGCTTATGCGCGCCGACGTGCTCCTCCTTGACGAGCCCACTAACCATCTGGATGTTGCCAATGTCGCTTGGCTCGGAAAGTACCTCAAGTCCCACACTGAGATCACTAGCTTGATCGTTTCTCACGACTCTGGTTTCCTCGACGAAGTCTGCACCGACATTTACCACTACGAGCAAAAGAAGCTGGTCTGCTACAAGGGCAACCTGGCTGATTTCGTTCGACAGAAGCCGGAAGCGAAGAGCTACTACACGCTCTCGGATACCCAGGTCAAATTCAAGTTCCCTCCTCCTGGTATCCTCACTGGTGTCAAGTCGAACACTCGCTCCATTCTGCGCATGACAAACTGCTCCTACACCTACCCTGGCGCTTCCAAGCCATCGCTCACCGATGCTTCTTGCAACTTGTCACTGTCATCCCGAGTCGCCATTATCGGTGCCAACGGTGCCGGTAAATCTACGCTCATCAAGATGCTTACTGGCGAGACCGTCCCTCAAGAAGGTACCGTCGAGAAGCACCCCAACTTGCGTATCGGTTACATCAAGCAGCACGCTCTTGAGCACGTCGAGATGCACATGGAGAAGACCCCCAACCAGTACCTCCAATGGCGTTACGCCAACGGTGACGATCGTGAGGTGCTCATGAAGCAGACACGTGTGCTCAGCGAGGAAGACAAGAAGCAGATGGAAACTCCCATCGATCTGGGCGATGGCTCAGGCCCCCGTAGGATCGAGGCACTCATTGGTCGTGCGAAGTACAAGAAGACCTTCCAGTACGAGGTCAAGTGGTTGCACATGCTGCCCAAATACAACACCCAAATCTCTCGTGAGACGCTTCTCGAGAAGGGCTTCTCCAAGCTTGTCCAGGAGTTCGACGATCACGAGTCGTCGCGTGAGGGTCTCGGTTACCGTGTCTTGGAGCCCAAGGTCATCTCCAAGCATTTCGAGGATCTCGGTATGGATCCTGAGATTGCGAACCACAACGAGATCTCTGGCCTTTCTGGAGGACAGAAGGTCAAGGTCGTGCTTGCCGGTGCCATGTGGAACAACCCCCATCTTCTCGTCTTGGACGAACCAACCAACTTCTTGGACCGCGACTCTCTCGGTGGTCTCGCTGTTGCTATCCGCGACTACAAGGGTGGTGTGATCATGATCTCGCATAACGAAGAATTCGTCGGTGCTCTCTGCCCCGAGCAGTGGCACGTCGCCGACGGTCGCGTCACGCACAAGGGCCACCTTGCCGTCAACATGGACCGTTTCGAGGACTCGCGCCCTGGATCCAGCAATGTTAGCAGCAACGTGAGCTCCGCTGCGCCGTCCACCACCGGTACTCCAGTCATGAGTGACGCCGAGGGCAACAAGGACGATATGAAGTTCAGGTCGAGGAAGAAGAAGAAGATGACCAAGAAGGAGCTCAAGGACCGTGAGGTCAGGCGTAGATTGAGGTACATTGATTGGTTGAACAGCCCCAAGGTATGTTTTTTCCCATTTCACCCACATCGATGCAGATAACTAACAATTTCACTAGGGTACTCCTCAGCCACCCAACACTGATGACGAGGCCGAGTAAATGTTGTTGCAACTGTTTCGGATTATGATCGCATTATGATATCTTAGACTATGCAGATTTGCATTGCTCGGCGTTTAATAGAGGCCTGGATGATTGACTGCATTTGCGTCACCGATAGATTTTGAACGTCTAGCTGCATCCTTATGATGAATCAAAAGCATTTCCTTTTCTTCAAGCTACAGTTTTATTCTTGATTTGCGTGAGTCTTGCTACTCTACATGAGCTACATTTGCCTATTGTGACGTGTGAGCACCAACGCTACCCGGTAGGGTCCAGCAATGTGAGAAGGTACCTAGAGTCGATACATCATACTGCCGCAGTAAGGTAACTACTCGGTGGACAAGTGATGCGTCTTAATTGTGCTTCTGCGTTCAATGATGTAGACGTTTACTGCAGAGCTGCTTGAGATGTCGTCGCGTGCATTGTTTCTGCTGTTCAGAATACCCAGTGCTTCAACTCCTACATACCAATCGGTCATATTTTCATTTGGCTTCTTCACTCGTTCATTAGTGCGGTGGTTCGATCGGTGGGTGCAGAACAGATTGCGTGCACTTCGCTCCTTCCACCTTCACTATCTCACCAATCTCATCAGTCCACCGCCCCACCCAACGAACACTCACGCTCCGCAAGTCGGACCCTGAAAAGCCCAAGGTGAGTATCGCCTCCCAACAGCTTTTGCCTAGCGGGATAGCAAACGCCTGCAGCTGCTCTCTCGCCTTGCTCCATATAAGCCCGCCTTTCTTCTCTTCCCCTTTCCATCACCTTCCCCCACCACCCCTCTCCACCATCAACCCCTCCACACTCTCGATATCACACACAACTACGACGACAGTACCTTCAAGTACGCTTCCATGAAGCTCATCACTGTCGCCCTCGCTGGGCTGGTGGCGCTCGTCGCTGCCTCGCCGGTAGAGACTACCACCGCTGCTGCGGCTTCCAAGTATGAGAACGATGATGCTCACACGTAAGTCGCCTCGCCTTTCGCTGATATTCTTAGAGGGTAGTATACTGACTGTCAACAGATACAAGTGCGACAGCGACAAATATGTCCTCTCTTGCCTCCGCTCGGGCACCTGCTCTTTCGTCGAGGCGTGCTCCTTCGCGTGCGCCGACAACAGCAAAGGTGCTTGGTGTACCGGTTCAGCTACTGATACCAGTGTTGAGGATCGAGCTGTTGGCGACCCTTCAGCCATGCACCTGAGCAATGACGAAGTCAAGTAGGTAACCTCCATCGTTGATCAGGGAACATTCAGTAATCTTATCGCTACAGGTACTCCTGCACCCACGACGAGTGGATCCTCGCCTGTCCTGTCAACGCCGCTTGTGCTACCATTGAGTATTGCCTGGTCAAATGCATCGCAAATGAGCGAGGTGCTGAGTGCTCGCCCGGTGCACCCGAGAAGCGTGACGTCGATTCCGATGTTCATATCGAGGACAAGAAGACCTACGAGTGCGCCAAGGATCGCACTGGTGTCTTGGTCTGCCAGTATGGCTTCTGCCAAACCGACCACTACTGCAAGAGGGGCTGGAAGTGTCGCGACAAGTGCAACTGCTGCAAGAAGCCCAACATGTTCGACCGAGACGTCGACGACGCCGACATCACTGAGGCACCTCCACGGTCCAAGGACGCATCTGGCAATGTAAGCACTCTCCTGCATTCTCACTGAGCTCGAAGAGATCTGAATTCCAGACTCGAGTTCGCTCCTATCTCACCTCCGTTGGCTACAATTTGTGTCGCCGATCTTTCTAGGTTGGAGTGTGCATCATCTTGGCAGTGTGTACTTGTTAAGATTTAGTTGCATGCATACTGCAGACTGAGACACGGATTTCTTCCACTTTGACCACTACATTACTCTCCCACAATGGCACATTGCTAACAAAAGTCTTCAGGCCCCCACCGTCGTCGAGTCGGACGCTTTGGCCAAGCGTGATCCTTCCTGTTCGCCTGGAACCTATACCTGCCTGGAATCCGCGACAACGGGTGCCTGGATCATGACCTGCGACTACAAGGGTGCGTGGCAGTACTCGTCGAACTGCGGTACTTTGAAGTGCCTCGAGCGATCCGATGGAGCCGCCCATTGCTGGAACCCGGGACCGGAGTGGAACACGGATCTGGCAGCCGCCAAGCGTGAGGCTTCTTGCATGCCTGGGACCTATTCCTGCGACAACGACGAATCAACGGATGACGCCTGGATCATGACCTGCGACTACCGGGGCAAGTGGGTGCAATCTGCCAACTGTGGCGATTTGAAGTGTCTCGCGCTATCCAATGGTGCCGCGCATTGCTGGAACCCAGGACCAGAGTGGAATACGGCAATTGCAGCTCGTGATGAACCATCGGAAGTTCCATCGGATGTCGCTCCATCTCAGTCCTGTGAGCCTGGAACATTTGGTTGCACCTTCAACTCTGCCACAGGAACGAGCTGGGTAATCACTTGTTCTCCGTCTGGAATCTGGTAAGTTCTGGATCTACGAAGTCTATTTGAGACATATACTGACTTAGTACCTCTACCTCTGCAGGCTGTGGTCATCCGACTGTGGTCAGGGACAGACCTGTGATCTAGCAGCTGACAGGAAATCTGCCCACTGCAGGCAGAATGCGAAGCCTACCATTGGAGCCCGCGACGAGCTTCTCCAAGTCCCATCAGAGCTGGCTCCATCTATGTCTTGCTCACCTGGAGCGTTCAACTGCGCCTATAGGAACGTGACTCAGACGGAATGGACTGTCACTTGCGAGCAGTCTGGATCCTACTGGCAGTGGTCTGCCGACTGCGGTAAGGGTTGGAAGTGCGTTTCGGACGGTCGTGTTGCACACTGCGTCCCAAAACAAGCTTTATTCGAAGCTTGGGAAGCTTGGGAGGCCACCCAGACCTCCACATCGACTCTCGAGGTTGAGGCTTCAGCAAAGGCTTGAGCGGAGTCTGAGATAACAGAGTAGAAGGATGTGAGATGAGAGCGATGGGTGCGCGCGGCCTTACGGATACGCCTGGTGGGTACGCCGACTCCTCCAAAAGCATGCAAGGCGCAGATGGCAGTCGCTAGTAGGGCTCTAACCACTCTTCATGACGTCGTTTCTGAAAATAACAATGAACGAGACACTTCCAATGCCTTGTTCCTTCTCTTGTGTTGCATGGGATATCTGAACAAGCGGTGACTGATCTTTTCGAGACCCGGTGAGCGAATAGTTGAGGATGATGTCGTGAGGCAGAAGGATGCGATCGATCGAATGCGACGTCGCTAATGGTTGGTGGCGCTAAGGATCTTATGCCGCGGATCTGAAGCTTAGCAGCTGCACAATAACGGTTTGGCTGCAAGCTGCATGGTGCGCTACATGTTTTTATGGTATCTATAGGAAAGGCACGCGAAAACGCGTCTATCTATCAAGTCTAATCAAGAAATGAAGTTTAAGAGCAAAGAGCCGACAGGAGCCCGTCGCGAGCAAAAGACCCCTTGGAAAACTGGCGGGGCTCACCCAGCACCTAGTCTCAGATCGACATCGCGTCCCTGCATACACTCGTCATACGTTAAAAAACAACCCTCTTCCAGCTGACCAAGAAACATGCACAGTAGCGCCAAACGTCTACCGCGGATTGTGGCTTGTAGGATATTGAAGATCTAGACTTTCCTCCCCTCCTCAGCTTCTTCTTCCTGCTGTGCACCTTCTACGAGCTTTTACTTTCGCAGATTAACCTTCCGCGGAGCTTCGTCTTCGTATCCAGGCAACAGCCACGATGTCGTTCATTGTCGAACATGCGAAACAGGCCGTCACCGACAAACAAACCAATGTCGTCATTTTCTCGGCCACGGCCATTGCCCTCTACGGGTATGACCAGGGAATGATGTCCCTCATCAACACGAATTATGACTACCTATCCACCATGGGCCTCCAGGATGAGTCACCAGTCGTGGGTGTGATCGTAGCGGTTTACTACCTCGGCTGCGCTGTCGGCGCTGTGCTCTTCTCCATGCTCGCTGATAAGTTGGGAAGGAAGAAGAGCATCTTTGCCAGTCTGGCAACAGCTAGTCTGGGAAATCTGATCATGTTCGTGGCTGGAATGGGCATGTTGGGAAAGAGCACGGAGATCGCATTGGGCGTTATGCTCGCTGGACGCGTGGTGATGGGATTGGGCGTTGGAGGAATCGACGCAGTCATTCCCACCTACTCCTCCGAGTTGAGCGCCGACGACTCTCGTGGCAAAGCGCTGGCCCAGGAATTCCAGTCCAACATCTTCGGTCTCGTAATGGCCTTTGGTATCAATTTGCTTGTTACCATCCTCCTTGGAAAGCAAAATCAGTGGGCGTGGCGCGTTCCTATCATTGTCATGCAGGTCTACCCCGTTCTGTTGATGGCATTTGTTGAACGCCTTCCGGAATCACCGCGTTGGTTCATCTTCCATGATCGCCAGGAGGATGCGAAGAAGGCATTGGACGACATCTATGGAGATGAGGGCAAGGAGAAGCTTGATGAGCTACTTGAACAGCACGAGAAGGAGAAGGATATCAAGGTTGGGTACATGGATATGCTCACCCCCGGCCACGAGCAGTTCCATCCTACTATGGTCACAGTGATGTGCCAGGTCAACCAGGCGCTTACGGGTTACGGTGCAGTTAGTGTGTACGGGCCGCAGATCTTTGAGGTAAGTTGTGTCTATGATCAGAGTGGTGCGGTTTGGCTCAATACTAACATGTGAAAACAGCTCCTAGGCTTCTCAGTCCGCAACTCTGAATACCTCACCCTTGGCAACTACGTGTCCTACTTCTTCCTCATGACGCTCGCTTGGCTCTTGATCGATGCTATGGGCCGACGCAAGATTATGATTCACAGTTCTGTCATCCTTGCCACTTCTTTCGCACTTCTCGGTGTTTTCGGTGGCTTAGCAGCAAACTCTGAGCCCATGAACATTCCCATTATCGTCCCCGGAATCATTGGAACCGTAATTTTGTTCGTCGCCACCGGCGCTTTCGGAATCGGCTGGCTCTCAACCGTGTGGTTGTTCCCCACTGAGGTCTTCCCGACCACCGCTCGCGCCCAAGGCACCGCTATCTCCGTCATCATTTGGGGCTTTGCCAACTTCGCCATTACCTTCCTCACGCCCGTCCTGTTCAACAACCTCGACTACTGGATTTTTGTCGTCTTCGCTGCAACCAATGCTTTCGCTGGACTATGGACGTACTTCTATCTCCCGGAGACTGGTGGCAGGACATTCGACGAGAACATGGACTTCTTCAAAGAGGCGGGTGAGCAAGGAACATGGAGGGTTGGCAAAGTGGGTAAGGGCGAGTGGAAGAAGATGTACTATCCCGATGCTGAGGGAGGTGATGCCGTAGAAGCGGAACGCGTACCGCTGTTGCAGCGGGTGGAAGACCAAGTTCCTAGCGTGGAACAGTCTAGACAGCCCAGCCCGCAACGGGAACAATAGAGAAAGGCAGCCCAGCCTTCTATGACGAGGGGGTTTCGAGGAACCCCTTGCGGCATAGTAAAAGCGGCGCAAAAGGTAAGTTATGCAGGTCAACTTTATTCAGGGCTGCGCTGACGTCACCATCAACAGTTATCATATCAACTAGCATCAGAATGAACATCTAATTTTTCTTCAACAGAATTTCCAAAAAGATCAACACGATGATCTACATGATGTTCCCAGTTGATGCTCGACGTTCTGCCCCACAAACTAATATAGACGATATAGCCAACCCAGTTGCGGAGAATACCCGGCATCTACGTGATCCAAGTACCGACCACGAGCCACGACCATTAGATTGAAAGCGATCAAATTCCCCAGATACTATCGTCATAGCTGCATGCAATCTGTTTTCCGCGAGGCCCAGCGATCTTCATACATCCTATTCATAAGTCTTGCAGCGTCCGCATTATGCGCGCGACATTTCGTTATCCTTTGTATCGACGGCAAAGATGCGCTCACTAACGTGCACATTTGCGCTCTGCGTCTCTCTAGCTAGCGCTGTAACGTTTGCGACGGCGCAAAGGACAGGCTCACCCTCTGACTCGCCCCAAGACTCCGACATCTACCAGTCATCCTATCTCGGCGGCGATCACAACATCGAGCCCTCAGACCTCCCAAATTTTACACAGCTCTGGAACGCAACTTTCAACCCGGACGAGAAAGTAAATTGCCCTCGCTGCATCTCACCTCTGACCCATCATTAACACAACCACAGCATTGGGCGCGCCCTCTCGTTCACACGCTTTCCTCCACCGGCCGCCAAATCGTCTTCACCGCGTCCACCGAGAATCGCATCAGAACCTTCGACGCAGAGACCGGGCAGCTACTCAACGAGCGCCAAGTCGCTCCACCATGGCCAATGGACCAAGCGTATTGCACGACGCACGTCAGCAAAACATTAGGCATAATGGGCACGCCAGTCATCTACCGCGAAGACGGCAACGAAATCGCATTTTTCTATGTCAAAAGCTACATCGAGGACTATAGACAGCCAGGTGGCGCGTATCCGCCTCTGAATTCCGTTTACTATCTCTACGGCGTATACCTAGACACTTTGCAAGATCTCTACAAATACCCCATGATCATAGATGGCCAGCCCTCTGATAACGACATGCGCAAGACTTTTCTCGGCGGTCTGGTCTTGCAGCGGCCTGCGCTGCTGTTGCTGGGCGATGTGCTGTATGCGGGGTTCGGCGGGCTGTGCGACGCGTTCAACTACACCGGAAGCGTTGTCGCTGTTAATCTCGCAACGCAGAATACGTATACGTGGACTACGCAAGCAGGAAACGCGAGTCTGTACAATGACGACTGGACAGCGTGGCATGGGGGTGGCGCGGGTGGCATCTGGCAGGCTGGCGCGGGTCTCTCGTCAGATGGCAAGGACGTCTTCTTCACGATTGATAATGGCGGCGGGTCGACGGCTGCAACGCTTGATGTCACGCCAAGGAAGGGCCACGAGTCTTTGGGTGTTCTTTCGGAAACCGTGGCGCGTATCACACTTGATGAGTCTGGCGGTGCTGGGATTCAACTTGTTGATTTCTTCCGTCCGTCGGATTGGCAAATAGACTCTGGACAGGATATTGGGAGTGGGGGTTTTGCTGTCCTTGATGGCGATGTTTTCAAGACTAAGAGTGGGAAGAGGATCGGTATAGCCACTTCTACAAACCCGAAGATGTACGTGACGGAAGTTGACAGCTTGGGTGGGTATTTGCAAGGTACAAACGGTACGGATGGAATCCTGCAGACTATCCCTTTAGAAGGCGAGGTCTTTGGTGCGATTGGATCTTATCCGCTAGAAGGAGGTTATATCTACGTCAACCCAGGCAATACCGCTCTATCCGCGTATGCATTTACTCCGAACGCATCGTCCTCGCTCTTCAGCTTCGCTGGCAAATCCTCCGACTTGAACGGACACTGGGGTGGTGCTGGCCTCCCGACTGTCATCAGCAACAAAGGTCAGCCTGGCACAGGTATCGTGTGGGCCACGGATGTGCAGGCTGGACTGAGAGCGTTTAAGGCAGTGCCGGTTAATGGGACGTTGGTTGAGCTGCCGCTCCCGAAGGTGGAGGGTGCGGTGAAGTTTGGAAGACCTGTGTTTGGCGATGGGAAGGTTTTTGTTGTTGACGGTCAGGGACGCTTGATTGCGTTGGGGAGGAAGACGGCGACGTAACCGTGGGCTTAGGCGTAGGTGCAGTAGTAGTGGTAGCAGTAGATGGAGTGAAAGAGAAAGGAAGAGGAGCGGGCTGCATCCACAAAGGTAGCGTGTCCATCTTCGAAGCGCCTCAACGTGTCCTTCTGGTGTATGCAAATGCCCCGTCACCTCAAATACAGAACTCTTGTACCGTCTCCAAAATTGCTGCCTTGGCTCTTCTCTAGGGCTTACTCGGTGATCTCGGACATGTCCACGGGTCTCTCGGCGTTAACAGCGCCATCCCGGGTGAAACCATCAAAGCCGCATCTCCAACCCGCCTCATCTTCGTCTCACACTCCCAGGCAACAGCATAACTACCAACATCGGTCTTTCAAAAGAGCGCGACCCGCGATTTCGCTGTCGGACACATGAGCGTATGTCCCGGCTATTCATGCCCACCAACGAGAGTGAACGCGCACAGACCTCCGCCCGCTGCATCATGTCGGCTCCGAGGATCTCGTTCGCTGGTCCAAGTGAAACTAGTCCAGTTTGACCATTAGCGCCACCAGCTGATGTGTGCACAACATGTGCATGAGGTGTTGGTGTGAGGGGGCGGTTCTTGATATAAAGCTTCCCCAGACGTTGTCGCTTCCTTCTTTTCTCATTCAATCACCTCATCTCACAACCGTTAAAATCACAGTCTTGCAACGGTCTTCGTCAATTTTGGAGACGCTCAGGTCTTCGTCCGAGGACCATCTAGAACTTTGTGTACCTAAGCATATCTCTTCGGACCAATCACAACATACGTGTTTGTGAGCAAGCAGCGAAAAGAGGCGTAACAGGACGAACGGGGATTATATAAACAAAGCGCCGGACCGACTTCAACTTTGAGTATCAACATCGACGTCGAAACCACAGCTTGTAAGAAAGAGAAGAATAGCGACACCATCCCATCAACAAACGAACCTCAATATGTCGACCACACACCTCACAATTCACGACCTCCTCCGCATAACATATACATACGAAATGCGCGCCCTCGAAGCACAAGCACACATGCAACCCCGACCGCGCTCGGATTCAGCTTGCTCGGTAGGTCTCCCCAAGTTCATGAACGAGGAACGCAGAACGGCGAAGACTAACAACACACAGATGCCAGAAACGTGTGCCCATCTCTCACCGCCCACTCCCTCCAGCCCAGAACACGCCATCCTCGAAACCGACTTCACAGAAAAGTACTGTCGCAAAAGCCGTCGGGCTTGAACCTCTACCCTCTCCTACTGTACTGTTGTCCTGATTAGAAGACAATTCGACATGTGATGACGGAGAAGACGCCACCAGCACTACCACCACGCTATCAGACCGCCAGAACGCCAGAATGTTTTCACCAAAAAGCTTGATCACTACAATACCACGCCAACTTCCTCATTTCGACCCCGATGACGAAGAGCGCATCATCGCTTTCAGTCCGCACATGGCGCTTCGCAATGTAGTGGACTTGGTTTGCGCGTCCCGGCGCGCATGGGGCTTGCATGTGCATGATGGGTGTGTGAATCGGTCCGACTGCGGGAGTGATCATTGGCCGCGGGAGAGAGGAGCTGACGTCGCGTGGGGAAGGCGAGGAGATGAGGGATATAGGGTTTTTCGCGCATGCGCTTCAAGCGCTGGAGTCGTATGATGTGCGGTGGATGTAGCAAGGGGTGATTCAAGACTTGGGATTTGTTGAGTAGTAGGATTTTGGTTTGTTGGACGCGCTATGCGATATACCCCTTCTTTCTTCACGTAATTAGTTTGTCTTAAAGCTTGGTTCAGTATGACTTTGTGGTATTGCATGTGATCTTTGCGATTGTCTAAGAATACTAAGTACGTTGCTGCGCTTTCCTTCAACTACTTACCTAGATATGACTTGCCTTCGGAGACGGCAGCTTACCTATGGTGCTCGCATCTGTCCTGTCATCGAACAAGCCGCTATCCTAGAGGGAGGTGCATTTGTTTTACGCCGCGCATTCAACCCCCAGACTTGCTATTATATCCGTAGACTACAACACCAGATGTACAGAGGTGTTGTCGAGCCACGTCAAAGCTCGTCTTAGGCCTGAAAAGCTTGCCTCTTGCACCAAAGCTTGCGAATACTATGTCGCTCTTCTCCGCCCTCTAGTGGAGGCTTTGTCGGATGTTGATAATGGCGATCGGGATAACAGGAGCTCTTGCACGCCGCGGGAGTGCCCCATGAACTCAATGAGCGGCTTTTGCAGTCAACGCAGTATGCTGTCGCATCCCTACGCGCAGTGCATCGCAAGGATATCTTCTTTGCTTCTCGCGATACTGCAGAAGCTGTGCCAGCATGTTGCATGATGGTGGGAATAGCAGACTCGTTGTCAGGAGTGCGTCATACCGTAAGCTGAGCTGTAAAGCCAACTACAACAGCGCAAACTCTTTTGCAGGGGCCTGGAAAGCTCGCCATACTAAAGAGCGAAGTATGGGCAAGGAGATGTGCGTCCTAAGGTCGAGAAGGCTCTCGTAGCTGCCAGAGATAGCTGTGGGGTAGGTGTAGCAGTGCACCAAAGCGAGGGCGTCGTAGCGGAGCTGGCTAAAAAGGCAAAAAGAGACAAACCAGCAACAAATGTACCTGCATGCAGCGTAAGCTTCTGACCCACTATACATGTCTATGTTAGAATAACTGCAATGTAGCATACAAAAAGACAAAAAGAAATAACATCTACTTACTGCCTTGTCCAATGCCTAGCCAATTCCCTAGGGGACTGACCTACTGCACGGTGCTGTTGCCGGAACCTAAAAGAGCAAAACAAAAAGCAAAAAGGTTCTT